CGGTGGTTCGGCGTGCTTTCGAGACTATCAGGGCACAGTGCTCTGACAGACTATTTTAGAGTAGGATATGCCCAAATCCTTGATAACTCCTGGGACATTTAGTTCTTGTTAGAATAGGATATGCCCAAATCCTTGATAACACCTGGGACATTTAGTTCGTAACCGTCTATGGAGAAATCAATGTTCCCGAGAATATTGTCTGAGTATAGTTGAAACGACGGGACCGGTTCGGATTCCGTCGTAAGATCCTTTGCAAAGAATGCATTAAACAATTCAGCCTTGTCAGACTCATCGAGTACAAATGTTTTATTTTCAATTAGCATTGGGGGGATTTCATAACCTCGTTTAGCGGAAGACCTACAACGGAGCAGTTGGGCAACCGATTTCGCAGGGTTTAATTCACTGAGTGCGCAAGATTCCCTCTGTTGGTCACGGGCAAGACGAATCTTGGACGCTAATTCGAAGACCACTGCGATCCTTATATGCACAGACAGCGAACTAGTAGATCGATCTTTCATCTGCCTCCTCACTTTCTTTAGTCTTGGCAGAAGAAAGTGAGGGACGGTCGATTCTGATGAGTAGGGTTTCGCAATTTTAGTGGGCAAAAATTCCAGCATTTTATTAGAAATGACCGACATGAGTTTAGAAAGACATGCAACGTCGTTCGTGGAGGAGAGACTCTGCCAATCCAATGAGTCAGGAGGCCATAAGCATGATAGGTACGAACGGCGCTAGCCTTTTTCGTAGAAAGAAGCAGAAGTCAACAGTGAATTAATGCATGATCACTTTGGAAGATATCCTGCTTAAAATCAACGTAGAGGGGAGCAATACCGTTTGTAAAAATCAGATCTAGTATGTGATTCTGTATTGTTGGGGAGCGGATCGGTTGAGACCAGTTAGAAAAATTGATGCTATCTAGGAAAGGCTGAAATCTAGGTGGACAAGATTTTGAAGGCCAGTCGATTCCGGGAAAATTAAAATCTCCAGCAATAATTTTAACTTCGAAAGAGGACTCTGAAATAAACTTGAATATTTCACAAAGATTTGCATCTTCTTCAGATGATGAGTTAGAAGGATTATATGCACCTCCGATAATCGCCTTTTGCCGGAGGCGACGGATAGTGGAAGCGAAGCAGTAATTTCCAGAGAAGGACGTGCTATTTAGATAAAACGGAAAGTGCTTGAAGGACGTTCTACTATAGAGAAGACAACCACCAGCACGCTTATTAATGCGATCTTGACGGTAGAGATCATACTCGTCTATGATAAGGGAAGAGTCAGAAATGATTGGATGGGCCCAAGATTCTGGTATGCATATAACATCGGGCCTCATCTCAAAAGCAATGGCTCGAAGTTGGGCCATCTTATTTATAACAGACCTGGCATTAAGCATTATGACATCTAGCGTGTTTCGAGTGGCGGGACTATGGCTATCGTTATTCATAAAAAGAATTTGGAGGTGGGTAGGTAAACCGTAGGCCGTTATTATTTGGGAAATAAGTACTGACAGGTATGGAGCTATTTGCATATGGGTAGCCAATAATTGGTGGCTGATAAGGTCTGAAATATCTGGGGACCCCATTTTCTGGCATGGGAAAATGAGGAGAGGATAAACAAAAATAATCTTCTGGGCCATTAGGGAGGAATGGGGGAAGGCTAGAAGGCACGTAGAAGTTTGCGGGTTTGAGTGGATGAGGGTGGGTAAAGGAACTGATAGGGAGAAACAGGGACACAAAATTAGTTTTAGGGCCGCTTGCGTAAGGACTAGTGGCCTTAACCAGTGAATCTTCTGTACCGCGACTCCGATTAGATTTAAAACTATACCAGTTTGAGTTACTTTTGTGCGAATTAGAGTTTTCGTGGTTCGGGCCCGACGCCTTCAATAACGCATTATACGGGGAAATAATATAACACGCACGGGAGGAGCTAGGTTGTGGTGGGGCAGCGGTCGGCCTAAACGCTTTTGATAGTGTTGCCGACATTATCGATGGGCTTGTTGCAGCGTTAAAGGCAACCGAATTTATCGATCGTTGGACAGAGAACGTTTTTAGACTAGTTGTAATCGCAGTAGATGGTGGAGTGGAGGGGCTTTTAGGACCGGACATCGAGGGGGGTGGACTCACTTGTGCATTGACGTTAACGGGACTATGACCAGACATCCGGAGGGCAGGGATAACAGGTGTACTGACATTAGCGGGACTATGACCAGACATCCGAGGTGAAGGGTTAGCGGGTGCATTGACGCTAGCGGGGT